AGCCATGATCAGTACTTGCAGATCCTCGTGATTCGGAGGTGGTAGTACATCCATTACTTCCATTTTCGCCTGCTGCGTTACCATTGCTTCCTAGAAAAAATAGCAATTTCAAAGTCGAACAGTTAAAACCGACACCACACTCATCCTCTCATTGCTGTTGCTAGCACTCGGAATAGGAGCGGCAGCAATAACAACCACCCAGTAGTAAGGCTGAGAGTTGCTTTCTAGCAAACTGATGGCAGGTTTCACTTCTCGGCGCGCGACAGTTTAGTTTGAGGTTGAAACGAATGAACGAATCATAGAGAGATTGGTTGTTCCGCTGACAAAGCTAAACTTTTGACCTTCAACACGACAGCGGCTCTACTGTCCACTGCCCAATACCCTCCAGCAACGCAACTGCAGGTATAACTGGAAGATGCACCTCGAAAAAATGTACTCTTTCAAACAGAGAAATTCAATTTTTTATTTTTTTAAGTCGACACTATCTCAAAGCCATTACGTTTCTAAATTTTCATTTTGACGTACATTTCATGTCCTAATTTACTAGTATACTGCTCAATTTTCGACTGCTCAATTTTTAACTTTATACAGTTTTTTAAAGAATTTTAGAATTTATTAAAGAAGGATATTAGTGCTAGACACCCTATCAGCAGTCAAGGCGTTTTTAACGCTCTTAGTACATTTTGATTTTATTCATTCATTCATTTCTGTGCACACTTCCTTAATTGATTTATCCCCTAATATGTGCACCACCAATTAACCCAGGCTGGAACGCACCAGGGGGGCCCGTGCGAACATGTGTTTTTGCACCGGACTTGAATTACTCAGGTCATTAACTGTATGAATGGCTGTTGCTTTACATTTACCTTTTGCGGTCGCCAGCATAAATCACCACAAACTTTGCAAAGTAAATGTATAATTTGCATTTAGTCGTTCATTAAAAGTAACGTAGTTGTTCAGTGAGAAATTTTTGCGTCAAGACTTTCAAGCGCTCCTACGTAGGAACCATGCATACCTCAACGCCGAATTTGAAATACTTAAGTTGTAATTTGACAGGGGATATTCCCGCAAAATTTTAGACTTCCAGCTTTTCTGATTACCGAGTTAGCGATTTTTCCGCCAAAACCTTCAAATACCCGTACGTGGGCACTCCACGCGTCTGGAAAGCTGAATTTGAAATTTTTAAATTACGCTTGGACAGAGAATATCCCCTTAAAATTTTAGCCTTCCAGCTCTTCTGGTTGCCGAATTAGTAATTTTGCTGCAGAAGCTTCCATACGCACTTACGTGAGTACAACGCACAGTTTGGGGCTGCATTTGAAATATTTGAGTTGTACTGCGATAGGGAACACTTCTCCAAAATTTCAACTTTCTAGCTTTCCTGGTACCCCGAGTTAGCAATTTTCCCCCTAAAACTTTCATACGCCCTTGCCT